TAACTTTTTGAAAAATGTATGGATCAATACAATTTTTGTTTTCATTAAAACTTGAATACTTTTTTTTTTTTAAATCACACCATATTCCTTTAAACAAGGAGAATTAAAATACCAGTAAAAATTTAAACTTTTTCAATTTAACTTTTATGTCATATGTTAAATCATAGTTTATTTTACGTATTTTAAGTTCAATAAGAAAAAAATTGTTCCGATGAACTATTTTCTGTGTACAATTGACTGCTGTAGCTAAAAATATGCTATTATGGTGTTAAAATTATTTTTGTTTATTTTAAAATACCTCAACATTGCAATGAGATAACCAATTTTTATAAAATTTACATGAATTTAAGTTACATTAAATATAAATTTGAACTTATTTTTCCTGCTCAAATTTCAGAAAAGTTGCATTGAATTTTTGGACTAGATTAAATTGTCATTTGTAACAACAAATTCATGTAATTCACGATGGTAACGTGGAATATATTACAATGTGACACGGCACACAACCCTTCTCTAGGTTGATGCTCACTGGTGTCTTTCTCGATACCAGCCGTCCACTTATCAATATGACAATCGGTGTTTATTGTGAACCTCTCCACCCTTGACACCGCGACAAGACCGCCGCCGACGGTGTATTGCTGATGATGCGTTCTGTTTTGTTGCGACCATCGAACTATCTATTGCTTTTACGTGACATATCCCCGCCCGTACTTTAACGGATCACCATGGTTTCTTTTTGCCTTTTTATGTTTTCTCTTGTCTAGTGATTTGGACATCAATACTTTAACGAATATATTGCTGTGCTAAATATATATATATATATATAAGGACTCTCCAATTGTTTTTTTGGTGATACCTCCCACCCACGCTTCACCAAATAATATTGAATATGCGATAAATGTGCTACGAAGGGGTAGGGAGTTCGAACCACACTCGTCAAAATAATTTTTTTCTTAATTCTTTTTGAGGTGGAAATAAAATCCAAAGTTCGTTAGATTTTTATCTCGTTTAGATTGTATTACTTCAATAAATATCAAGGACTCTACTACCGTGTCTCCCTTTGTCAGAAGGAATTTCTTATTCTTATTAAAATATTTTACTATGTGGTTTTTTTTTGTATCTGTCGTTCATTTTTATCAGCTCTCACTTGACCAATTTTTTTCAACAGTACGTCAAATAATCACAACTAGTGTTTAGTAAAAAATATTACCCTCAAAATTGAAAATTATTTTCCCTTTATTAAATAATAATTTGCTTAATCAATTTTCTCCATATAAACAATTAAAATCATTAATTTCNAATAGGAGTTCATTATGCTTTTGGAATAATCCACTAATTTTTTTAAATTAAACACTATCTACAGATTTGCATCGAAGCATTTTGTATGATAGTGATTTTAATCACTATCACATATCATTATAAATGACCTAACCATGCCCCATTGTGCTAAGTTTTATTTTTTTTTAATGAGAAAACATATTTTAAATTTAATGAAATATTTGGGTTTTTATTTTAATAGTAAATGGGATTTGAATTTTGACTATAACTTTATTCGTTTATGAGATATAAAACTAAAGTTTCAAATTGTTGAGTTACTTTACATGTTTAATATACAAAGGATTATCAATATAGGTAGCTAATTGATTTTTTATGACATCGATATTCACTGATACGAAGTATTTATTATCAATGGTAATAAGGCACATTGTTGAGTTTATAAATACACCAACTGAGAATACAAAAAGCATATCTATTGAAAATCATAATTGACAATATACACTCCGTGACAGTGATAGCGACGTCATAAAAAACCAATTAGCTACATGATTTGTAATGATTCATATATTATACATGTATATTAATTAAAGTTTTTTATCTTATGTACAGATAAAGTTATATTAAAAATTTAATTACAATTTACTATTAGATTAAAAACGCTAATAACAATGTAACAAAAAATATTTAGATTTATCCTATTTATAATTGTTAAATTTATCGAAATTGTATATGTAGGTTATGGAAATTGAATTATTTTAACATATTACAGTTGGATTAAAGTATTTGCATATATTATGAAGTAATAATACATTTTTTGAAATTTACAAAATATTATTTTTAACTTAAGATTTTACATATTAGGGCCAAAATGTTCGTTTTAGTAATTTCATGTGAGTACCCATATGTCTATGATCTAGTAATCTAGAAAATATCCATAAATTCAGTTTACTACCATATTTTTTATTTTTTGAAATCGATTTATTAGACTGATTACAAATATGTAAAAATAAAAATTCGTGCAAAAATTGCTAAAAAATTATAGTACTCTAAAAATTTCATGTAACACTTATATTAAGCTGCGCGGACTTAAGTTAAAAATGTTAATTTTTTTTGAAAAAGTTGGAATTTTCAATCCCTCCCTGTGGGCAGGTATAGGANGCCAAAATGTTCGTTTTAGTAATTTCATGTGAGTACCCATATGTCTATGATCTAGTAATCTAGAAAATATCCATAAATTCAGTTTACTACCATATTTATATCTATAAAAAACAATTATATTAATATAATCATTATTGAAAAAGTTATGGCAGTTTTAAGTAAAAAAAAAATGTCGAAAATTATCGATTTTTAAATTTGTTTTGTTGATTTAGACCATTTACGGGGAACGAGGGAAATTTTTCAATTTTTAAGTGTAATGTCTTCGACTAGATACGATTTGTGATCTTTTGATGTATCGTTGAAAAAAATCGGTTCGGTGAGAGCTGAGAAAAAGTGAAAACAGACACAAAAATNTCGGTTCGGTGAGAGCTGAGAAAAAGTGGTAACAGACACAAAAAAAACACATCATAGTAAAACTAATACCTTTTCAGCTTCGCATCGAAGCTAAAATATAAGAGAAATAAATTGTATAATCATAAGAGCACAAATATAAAGTATACAGAGTTTCTTTTATTATATATATATATGATATATTGATAAAACAAAACAATCATCTTTGAGTAATAAAATTAATATTAAGGTGCCAATTTAGATTTAACATTTCATCACAATCAGTATCATCTAATATCAATACTTCTTTTTTTAATAGTATAACAGAGAATAAAATAGAAAAGACAGAATGACATAATTATTATAATTATTTAGTTCTACTAAAAAAAAAATGAATTAGTTAAACAATTTTAGCAGTCCTTTACTTCTTTTAAAGTTATAATAAAAGAATTTTTNTTAGTTAAACAATTTTAGCAGTACTTTACTTCTTTTAAAGTTATAATAAAATAATTTTTTTTAAAAATAAGAACCTACATTTTTCCTTTTAAAAAAAAGCGTTTATTTGAAAAGTTCTATACAATTATAATGTACAATAAGTAAATATAATAATAGAATTATAAATAGGGCGTCAAAAGAGGTCTACTTAGAATAATATTGATTATGGGGCGAATTATAAAGTTATAAATTTGATTGAGGTTAAATGAGAGTTCATATGAAAACTAAAATTTAATCTTTATTAATTTTATTTAATGCAGTAAAACTTATATGCAATAGCAACATCAATTAATTTTTCTTTAAGGGTATGTTATTATAACGTTAGTTAAATTTATTTTCTAGAAATTTATGTACAATATAAAATTTAACTACTTATAACTCTAATATAATATATACAGAACATTATTTTTATAATAGAAAGTTTTAAAAAAATACTATTAAATAAAATTATGTATTTCCTTCCCAAAGTAAAAATAACAAATTTACTACAAAAAATACTTTGAAATTAAATTAATTAAGAGGTCCATAATATCTAAATTTGTTTTCAACTATTGTCTTATATTGTATAATTTATTNTAAAACACCAATTTTTTTAAAATTAAACACTATCTAAAGATTTGCATCGAAGCGTTTATTTTTGATAGTGATTTTAATCACTATCAGATATCATTATACTTGATCCAACTATGTCACGTCACCACTGTGCCGCGACCCCCCTGTGCTGGGTTTTTTTATTAATAACTTGACGTCGAAATAAACTGTTTAATTATTCCACAAAAAATATCATGACCATTTAAGTCCTAGAATACTAAAGTTACTTTTCAGCTTAATTGATGTGCTCATCATTCAATTGTAGCCCTGTCGTCTTATTATAATACGATCTTAATAGTATCTATTGTTTAGCAGTTAATTTTAAATATTAAAACATAACATTAGGTAACGTTCTATGGGCCAAAATGCGGTGATGGATTAAACTTAGGATTAATTTAAAAGTCAATAAAATCATAAATCCCCGAAATGTTGATTTTTTATAAATAGATGATTCAATGCTAAACTGCATTTATTTCAATATTTTAATTATTTATATAATTATAAGTTTTTGGAATATTTTTAAAAATTATTTTCATTTATATTTGAATACCTGTTCTAAATATATTTTGTCTGCTGTATTAAAATACGTATTTTAAATATATTTAAAAAGTATTCAAATATTTAAGCTTGCTGTTTTCTTAATAATTCCCATCATACTGATCAACAAATAATTCCTAAAATGTCTGAAGACTCAGGTAACTATCCCCGAAAAAAATATCTAACATTTTGTTTTTATTTTAGAGTCAATTCTAGACTTTTACATATATACTTTTTTTTAGTCTCATTAAGGGTTGTAGCGACCCTCCACAAAGAAGAGGTTTTCCTAACCATTGATAATCCAAGACTGGTGGTTAGTCGATCACCGTAAAGAGGGATGACGATACCAATTACCGAACTGATGTCTTGCTCGACAAATAAAGCCGCCCGTAACTGAGTTTCGAACCCGAGGAAATGGGCGTCAAGAACTGACGCGTTACCAACTTGGCAACACCGTCCAGATTATTTAAAATATTATTAAAAAGCAAAAAATTGCTGTGAAATAAGAAACGTTGCATCCATTTTCTAGAAGAATTCATCATCATGGATTAATTAAGAGTGGATAAAATTATTATAACAAATTATAATACAAAAAAAAAAAATCTCTCGAATTTTACGTAGTCAGATTGAAATTTATTAAACAATAATAATTAAAACAATAAATACTCGAATAGCAGTTTATTTATCTATCTTTACACGCCAATAATGTACTACTATTTCATAATAAATGTTTTATGATATCTGAAAAAATAAAATATTTTTTAATATAAAATTCAAAACGTTTTTATAAAAATATTGATTATCAATGATATAATCAGGAACTGGAACCATAATTTTTATAGGTTCGAGTTCAGATTTAAGATTTATAACAAATAAGTATCGGGTTTGGTTCAGGTTCTTTTCATACTTATAATCTAAGTTCGAATTCTTGAAAATAAAAATTTAGGTTTTAGTTGATAAAAATTCATTTAATCATAATATGCGGTAGGACGATCAGGATTTTCTCTGTGGAAGATGTGCACAAGAAATATATTAACCATCCCCTCTATTTACACATTTTTATTAATTTTTGTCATTGGAGGTTCTATTCCTCATGTACCCTAAGTGAGAGGACTCAGTTCTCCAAAAATTCGGAGAGCTTTATCAATTGGCTGGCTGTATACAGTCTTATATCTTAAATGATTTCTTTCAACGCCTAAATTTTATTTTAATTGTAAAGTTTTTACTCTACAATGTAATTTATTAGGTATACCACCCTTTATTTTTTCGTTAAATATTGATGTTTTCATACAAATGGACATTTTTAATTTATCTTATTTTTATAAACCATTGTAAATATCAAGTTTATTGTAAGAATAAATTATTCGTAAAGTATATTTTAGGAATAATTATCGAAAGTTAAATGGAAATTTATTATTATTTTTTACTATTAAATGATGAATAGCCTAAATAAAATGTTGACTGATTGATAATCAGTGTTGTCTTATTACTTTTTCAGTTGTTATAATTTGTAGTTACAGGGGAACATAGTGAGTAACGTAGAAGAATTCTTATCTGTGTGTCATGATAAAAATAAAATGTCGCTTAAAACTACCCCGCTCCTCTCCTTTTCTTATACTTGTCGTACAAAATAGACAACTATAGAAAAAGAAAGTGGGTTGAGTACACGAAGATGATGATGAGATTTAGTCTGCGTTGATATTCATGTACGTGTGATCATACAGCAGTCACTGTATGATCACACTTCGGAGTAATTGTGGCTGCCAATTGTCATAAGGAGGGAATAAAGGTATGAAGCAAAGACGAAGTTCAAGATACAAATACTAGACGTACCTGATAAGGTATATAACATAGAACGAGGTGCAGACAGAGTGCAAGACACAAGTACACTTAAATGTTGGGGACGAAAATAGGAAAGTTTAAAGGGCGTCAAAAGGAATGAACAAATTCTTGACTTGACAGAAATCGGACAGCGACAGCCGAGTACTGAAACTGATGAATGACACAAAACATAAAGCTACGCATTGGAGTCGACTGGTTACGATGGACAGGTCCATTGGGTTTAAATAATGTTAGATTATTAATTGATTTCTCAATAATTATTTTTATTATCAATTCATCAGTCGCTAGTAGCGGTCTGTGTTATATTTTAAACTATTTTAAAATAATAGTAACGTGACACCATTACATATTTCAAAGGCTAATATCTCAAAAAAATAATAATAATAATACAAATCTGAATTAAATTAATAAAAATTTATTTAGATCATTCTCCATTTAATAGTAAAAAAAATAAGTTTCGTGGAACTCTCAAAAGTATCTAAAATATATCTTTAGGAAACTTGTTCTTACAATAATTTTGATATTTACAATGGTTTATAAAAATATTTAAATTTTAATATCAACTATTTTATAAAAAAAATAATTATTTAACGAATAAATGAGGGGTAGAATAACCTGAGGTAAAAATGCGCCCTTAATTTATTTTGCATATAACTTGAATTATGTGGTAGTTATAAACAATTTTTATAACCTATTTATTTATATTATTTGATTTTCAGCGAGTTGTTCAAAGTTTAAGGGCGATCAAGAAAAATACCTATTTTTCAAAAACGGCATTGGGTTGTAAATTGATAAGTGCTACCGATTTATATGATAAGATATGTAGTTTATAGTATGTCTATGAACCCGTAGCGATTATCCATAAATGACATGATAATGTTGCCGTCTTTTAAAAATAGGTACGCTTTTTTCCTGATTGTCTCTAAACTTTAAATAGCTGTAACCCGTTGAAAATTGAATAATATAAAACATTTTTATCAATTTAATAAATTAGATACTATAAAATATTGATGTTGTAGTTTTAAAGTCGAAAGTTGATACAAGATTAGAATATAAGTAGAAAATTAATTTTTCGTATAAAGTATCTCTACAAAGATTCATAATTATTAAAAAAAATAATATCATGATTAACTGTATTGTTTTCGGAGAAATGTTATGAGGCGTAGTTAAGAAGTCATCATGTATGCATTTTTATGAAAAAATCATAAACGAACAAATTAAAGGTAGTTACTTAATAAATCACACTGTATAATAAAAGTATTATTAATAATTTAAAATATTACCATCATATATAACACAGTCATTTTGTATTACCAATCTTTTCAGTATTCTGTCTTGTATATTTGTATCTAAGTTATACAATGAAAATATTCGACGTACTTCGTTCACAAGAATAGCTCCATTACATTGTGACGATTTCAGCATTCGATTTAATTTCCACATAGTATAACTATACTCATTATAAAAGAATTCCATTAAATTATCAATTTTCTCTACTGAATTTTCTAAACGAACATAAATTAAACATCTATTACTATAATTAAATAAGTTTCTTAACTGTTCAATTAATTTGATTTAATTAATTCGTTGTACATATCATACATAAAATAAATATTTTAACCTCGTATGATCTTTTTATTTATTTTTTATATTCATATCTTTGCCCTTATTTTAAATATTTTGACTCAACAATTAATGTATTACAAACTTTATATAACACTGCAGTAAATAACACTAATTGTATACGTCAATAATTATTATTGTAATAGACAAAATGATTCTATTTTTAATAGTAGCCCCTCAATTTTTCTTAATAAATAATTTTCTATGGATTTATTTTTTAACGTTTGTTAGTTTCATATGTATACCTTATAAGAGTGCCAGTTAAATTTTTTTAAATGGTAACATATATATTTAACATGTAATGGTACAGTTTAGATGAAATGTTGTAAATGTACTATTATTGTATGATTACTCGTATTATTGTATAATATGCGGCAACATCGTGTGGGACTTTTGCATTCGCGTTATGTGGTGGCGGCGCTGGAAAAATGTTGTCATGCCTAACAAAGTGATAAGAAGATAAAATAATTGGTTGGTTATGTTTTAAAAAAGAAATTAAATACGTAATGATATCTATGTATTAAAAAAATGAACACTTTTGTTTTTCGTTTTCTCTCTAAATAAAAAACTAACAAGTAACAATAAGATTTTTCATGATGAATTAAATGGAAATATCAACAAACTATGTTTGAGAGAACAGCGAAAAAATACGCACGAATATCAACTATATTTGAACTCCTACATCAATGAACACTGCATCACCAGTACAACTGAAATTAAGGTTAGAAATATAACTACCACTAATCGTACACATACTAAATAGTACATAGAAATGAATATGTTTATTTTTGTATATATTGATATTTATATAAATTTTTAAATTGTTGTTTAATACAGAAACGAATAAATACTTCTAATGTTAACGAATTGTAATCAAAACCAATTTTTAATTTGTAAAATAAATTAAATACCATTTCAAACAAGTACTTCAAATATATAATATCATTTAATAAAGAAAATGACAGGTTGATAACAACATTTTGACAATATTTCAAAAGTTATTAACATTTTTATACCTTTGCAGGGTAGGAATTAGACCAAGAAATGTAGATAGTGGTTAAAAAAGTATCATCCGCTTTTCATCTCCAGACATTACTTTTAATGTTAATAACTTCTGAAATAATGAGTCTAATGTTGTCATTTTCTTAATCAGATCATTATTTAATAATTAAGCTAGATAATTATGAGGGTTACCTTTTTAAAAATAATGTTGAAACCAACATAAGACGTAAGGGATGAACATAACAAATATTTTATCATAGATAAATATAAACACATATGTATTTACAAAAGCCAACAAAAAAAAAACTTTTATTATTAAATATCTTTTTTTTAGTTTCTATTAATGTTTCGTGATTATTTATTATTAGATATTTAAAAATGATATGTAAAGACTGTTATGGCACTTCCAAAATACCACAATATTATTTTGACTAAGATACGATTAAGATAGTGTTTTTAAAGAATTACAATGTGCGAAAAAAATATATGAAATGTATGTGATTATATCATATTAAATAAAATAAAATAAAGTATGAAAAAATTGAAAAACATCGTCATCTAGCTTTATTTTTTTATCATCAAGAATGAACAACTATTAAACAATCAAATTGTAAGTAATTATTTAATTTTACTTAAAATGTTAGTTCAATTAATTAAAACATAAAAAACAAAATAAATATAATAAAAATATAAATATAAAGAAACATCTTTACAAATATATTGTAATAAGTAACAATCAAATATCATTCACAACAATGAACAAAAAAAAAACATTCAATAATATAAGCCAAACATTTTATGTTTCACAGATTTTTAATTTAAATTTTAGTTTTCACACTAAAAAAAAATTATTTAGGTAAAATATCTATTCATTATCAATTAAATGCATAAAATAAATATGTTTAATGTAAATTATAAAGCTTTTTGATACTTTTACTAGCTTTAACTATATACTATTTGACCAGATGATTGATTTATTGAACAATTTTTTAATGGTTCTATTGTTGACAAAATATAACATATTAAGTATAAAAGATTTTACTGGTTATATAATTTAAGTATTCCAACCATAACATTGGCAACATATCGACATTCGCAATCTGTAGTCTTGTCAACACTTAACCTTAATTTTTTTTGTTAAATAATTTAAAAATTTCATTGAAGCAATTAACAACATCATTTTTTCTTAAAGTGGGGGGCTCATCAGGTATTTGTTGTTAACGTATTTCATTAATATTGCTAAGAATATTTTTTTGTTGAGTTTATTAAAAGGAATTTTAGCAGCTAACACAGTTCTTTATAAAATGAGTTGTTCATAATGTTTAACATTTCATTTATACATTTTTAGGATTTTTCTTTATTCATAGATTTTAATCCATTAATGTGTTTGTCCATTAAAATATGTTGTTTTATTGTAGTTTTTTTTTTCAGCTGCAACTTTGATACCACAAACTTTACAAATAAAACTGACCCATCTGATGAAAAAATACTGTCTCCAAATTCTTTTACTTATATGTAAATATAATATTTTTTAGCTCGTATGATTAAATCATTCTAGTGAAAACATGACGACTGTTTAACTTTTGGCGTTCTATGAGCCATTAAATTCCCAAGAAATATAATTTATTAACTTTAAAACTACGCAGCGTAAAAATAAACAAAACTCACAACATTGGAGAATCACTAACTGATTTTTACTTCAAATTTATTTGATAATCATGCTACAGACAATATTGATTATTTTATACTATTATTGTATTTTAAATTATACATATATTATACATATACTGTAAAATGTCATTGATAGCTTTATTATTGAGATCGTTTGTAATAAGGGTAATACTTCCTTAAAATTTTACAAAAGTGTATTGTAAAGTTATTTATTAATAATAATTTTTTGTTTACTAAGAAATAATTAAGTATATACTTCATGTATGAACGCAGCGCCTGTTGGTACTCACGCGGGTTCGTTAACGTTCATTTTTTTATTTTGTCTTAAGTCAGGCTATGTCGAGAAAAATGAATAAGGTTAGTGGACTGTATAAATTACTGTAGAATGAATTTTACAATCATATAACAATTAAATGTATTATACATGAATCATAAAATCTTAAATACACCAATGTGGATAGGGAGACACTTAATACTAATGCCAAAATGACGCTGATATAAACAAATAATAAATTATAAATGTGAATAAGTCTTAGAAAGAAGATGAACAAGCATTATACTTATCGGCTAATTGAAACGGCTGATGATAATGTTGAATATTGAAAGGATCAATTGAAGTCGAATTCAAGTAGCTGACCAACGTTTACAATAAGCTGTGAGCGGTTCTGTGATTTATCTCAGGAAATATATAGACTCAACGGAAATATACTGAGTGTACAAGGTGTGACAATCGCAAAGGTGATATTTTTCATTTTACAATAAAAAGAATACAAAAACTACTGGCTCTCAAAGGCCATAGAGCTTATAACGTGCTAAGATGGCGGCGACAATGCAGACATAGAGAGAAGACCGACAATAACTCAATGTAGTAAAACGATAGCATAAATAACCACCACACAATTACTCGACAGCACCATTCACCGATGTGTATCCAACACTTCTAATATGTCTAATTTAAATTAAAAAATGAATTTTTGTCTACTATAACCTCCCCAAAAAATCATCATATTTGCAGGTATACAGCTTTGTTATTATTAATGGCGGTAAGGAACATTGTTGTGAGTTTATTATTACACTAACTGACAATATAAAAAGTATATCTTTTGATAGTCATAATTGATAATAAACAAACTGTGACTGTGACAGCAATGTCATAAAAAATCAATTAGCTACCTGCTTTTGTAATCTCTTGTCTATTATACATGTATATTAACTCAAAAATTTGAATCTTTAAATGTTTATATCTAATAAACGAATAAAGATATATTAAAAATTCAAATGCTATTTACTATTAAATTAAAAACTCAAACATTTTATTAAACTCAAAATATGTGTTTCCATTTAAAAAAACAAAGTTGACACCCTTACTAATTCAAGAATAATGTATAATTAAAGATAACCAAAAAAAAAAAAAAAGTTTAAATTATATTTATCCTGTAAGAAATTGAGTGGGTTATGATAAAAAAATCACTCTGTATATTAAAGTAGAAATATTTGAATCAAACGATATTTTTCTTAACCAAAATTAAATAATTTAAATTTTTTCCGAGAAAATGAATGTCTTATCTTTAATGAATCTCTCTGAATATTTAAATGCTTGTTAATCAATATTTACTCATCCTTAAATTTTTGTTGATCCATTAAAATTATTTTTTAAGAAAGCTATAAAAACTACTTGTTTTCAATTTTGGTAAAAATTTAAATTTTCTAGTTTTATTATTATTAAAAATGAATAATGAAAAAAATATTTTTAACGTAGGCTTAAAATAATAAAATTATTTAATAATAGATATTAAAGTGAAATAAAAAGTTATAGAATTGTCAGTTAGATCTATTTTACTTTAAACTTATACTTATATTTTACATGTATGTCATACATGTATATTTTACTTTTCTTTGACACCTTTCGTACAGTTTTATTTAAAATCTTATTTTTTTCTCAACAAATTTGCAAACTATTCATCTCAATTTCAATAAGTTCAATTAATGATGACTATTTAAATAATTCTATTATTCCTCCAACTTAGAAAATAAAACTGTATCAACAATAAATTTAGAAAAATCTTCAACATTTATTGTCTATGAAAACACTGCTAAAGGAATTTATTGAATGATTTTAAAGATTATGTTTTGTGTCTTCATGAGGAGAAAAGTAGTGCATGTAAAAAATTTAAGTGTTTCAAGTATCGCTTCCAACATCATACCCACCTTGACAGTATCAAGTATGTGTTAACAGAAATTGTAGTTTATGTCGACTGCAAAAAAATTTAAAAACTAAAAGTGAAACTTTTCTTGCATGACACAAATATAACATTGTATTTAGTATCCAAAAATATATTCATGACTTTACTGTGTCGACAAATTATATTAAAAAATTATACCAAAACATTTGAAAAATTAGGCCATTAAAAAAAGCACTAAATATTGTTGCTTAGATATAAGACCAACTGTTGCTACTGGAGATTTTTTGAAAATTGCCTTGTTGTTATTAGATCGGTACAAAATTTGGTAATACTTGTAAAAAATTTGTTACCCCATCCAACAACTATATCTCGGCGTATGCATGCAGACCACCAAAAAACTAAGGTAACATTTACTCAAACACTTATTTCATATAATAATCAATAATAAATTTTGGGCTACAACTAGTGACATGTGGACATATAATTACAGTAAAAATAGCTATAAGAATGTTACTTTACACTATGTAAATCGTGAAATTTAAAAAATGGGCTACTTCTCACAGGGTCAATTTTTCTCTATTAAAACATAAATTAGCGAAAACATAAAATATTTTTTTCATTTTAGTGTGGCTGCAAATAGAATTATTTGTGACTTAATATGACGCCACCAATTAGAAATAGTATTCAATTGCTGCGCACATTTACTTAACACAGTTTTAAGATATTTATTTGATGATAAATTCTTGAATTATGAAGATGAAGACAGAGAAAATCTTTGCAACTGTTATAACATTAATGACTTATTGTAAAAGTTACTAGGTATTTTGAAATGAGTGATAGGAATTGTGAACTTGGCAATGGATTTGTACAAGAAATAGTGATTAAATGGAACACATGATTATTAATATAGGCAATCTATGCAACGTGCATTTACAAAAAGTTTTTAAAACTCGTGAAAAAACGTTCAATAATGTAAAAAATACTAATGGAGACTTACTGGAATAATTTGTTGAATTTTTAGAACCGGTTGAAAAACTTTTAAATCGTTAGAAATGTATTTTTAAGTTGACAAATTAAGAATTTTAGATAACATTGATATGGAATTATATTAAATTAAACCAGAGGAAACTAATGGGATTTATAGTGATTTACAACAAGGAAATCTTATTTTGTCAATTACGTAAAAATGTTTTTGAAGGAGAATACGTTCTGAGTAAATAAATTTCTAATAGTCATTATAAATATAAAAAGAAATATTTTGACGTCTACATAGAAACTCTATAAGAATTTTGAAGTAATAAAAATTTGAACTTTCATGTCTGTGAAAATTAGCACAACAAATTTTACCTATTCCGTCGAGTGACGCAAGTAATGAGAGGACTCTCAGTACTGCTGGAAATGTAATAGCACAAAAAAGTTGTTAGTTGATGGAATATAATTTTCAAACAACTATTATAATAAAGCAATTTATGTACACTATAAAATTGTATATAAATATATTTTTAAATACTTTATTAATAGAGTATGATACAAGTTTCATTTTATTACAAATGAAATTTATAGCTTCGATACGAAACTGAGAGATATTGGTTTTGTGATATTGTCTTTTTTTTTATGTCTGGCAAATTTAAGATCTAAAAACTATGAAAAATGTATTTTTCAGACGATAACTAATTATAACGCTGAATACCGTGATCCTAGTTTATACAATTTTTACATTTATTGCTTTCGTATCAATAATATTTCTGATAGAGTATAGAAACTTCACAGATATCATTGATATGGAACAGGTGTTGATATGACAAAATTATTTTGTTCCATTTATTTACTTTAATTAGTCTACGAATGAATACACTAAAAATAAATGTTGTGTCAATATGACTAGACAACGGGCAAAACATATTTACAAACATTAAGTTAGTAATGTGTTTATTAAAATACATCAATATTGGACACCTGGATGCTAATTCTGGAAACAATAATTAATTATAAATATAAACATTATACAGTATAAAAAATATAAGATTTATGCATTGTCCTATGTGCATAGTTTTTATCAAAAATTGAAGTTTTCTGTTATAAATTATAGTTATAATTACTTTATAAGTATCTTAATTCACAACAAAAGAAATAATAAACGAACATTTTATTATAATTACCTATATTCTTGTAATCACTATCAGACATAGTCGCTTTGATATCAAAATCCATTATTAACCGAATTGCTTCAACAAAGTCCTTATAAATAATCTCATTACTATCGTTTATTTTTGATAATAATAATATTGATTTCATCTGAGCCCCAACAATTTGAATGACACTTACCGAATCGTTAACCTAAAAAAATAATGTTAATTTACTTAAATCTTGTACAGTGCCTATCATTTCTGTAATATTACATTTCCAATTGAGCGCTGGTTACACTTCTTATATAAGTTACATTTGATTAGTTTTGTTATTTTTTATTCTCATTTTTGGTAACTTAACTTTAGTTGTTTTTTTTTTTGGTTGTATAAAAGCTGATTCTTTTAACGCTAGTCACTCGATTTCTCTTAGAATACATTTTTTTTTTGCTTTTGTTAATAGATATGTGTCTATATTTATCTACTATAAATTATTTGTTATGTTCATCCTTTACGTTTTATGTAGGTGTCAACTTTATTTTTAAAAGGGCAACCCACATAATTATCTAGTTTATTTATTAGATAATGATCTGATTAACATAATGACTAATCGATTACAAATTAAGACTCATCATTTCAGAAGTTATTAACATTTTTAAATATAAAGTGAAGGAAAAACACGTCAGAGTAATGCGTAACGATAATAATAAAATAACTTGCACTTCACCACCATCTACTATATAAAACAATAGTTATAACTTCCAAAATATGTCAATAGTTGTCATCGACTAGTAATTTTTTTAATTATGACATTATTTATTAATTTAGTTAAATATGTTTATTACCATTAAAAAAAATAAAGATGACACACTTATAAGGTATAAAAGTTGAATTGCAAATATTATTATTATTGATAAATCAAGAAATATATAAAACTAAAAAATACCATAAAGAATTTTCTTATCATAATTATTTTAATAAGAGTGGCTATTAAAAAAATCACCCTATATTTCGTTTCCTCAATTTATCAAAAACATTTTTTTTTTGAAAGGGCAGCCCCTTTTTTTATATATTTATTGGATTGACATTAAATACTGCAAAAAATTTAACACTAAATCTTAAATAATATTTTTATAATAGCAGATTAAATATGGTAATTACCCTTACTCTTCTATAGAGTTATACTGTGTTTAATTAAATTATATAAACACGAATAACGATGATATTTTACATCAAAATAATATTTTTATTTATTCTCAAAGGCCGTTTACATATAGAAGATAAGTAATCGAGACAATTTATTTTTATCTTATAATACGTAATATAATCTTTAATTTGATATATATATATATATATGTTAAATGCTCAGAGTATTTCTAGAATATTTTCAAAATTTAAGTTGAAAAAATTCCGTACATTATTCAAAGATAATGCAATTTCAAGTTGAAAATATAGAATAGATTATCGACATTTTAACACAAAACTTGCTTGTTTTTTAACTACGGTTAATATTTTCATGATTATTTCAGTATCAAAAGTCATTTTTTGGAATTATACTTTATTATATAATAAAAAAAATTTTATTTTATTTAATAAATATATTATAATATATAATAGAATTTAATGTTTTAAAAAGAGTTGACTTTTGGTTATAATAAAACTTATTATAATTCTTACTAATTTAGATAATATTTGAAATTATTTTGTTTCACTTAGTATTAGGGTTTTATTATAATCTATTTTTTTATTAGTATAATAATTTGAATTATAATATTTCAAAATAAAAACTGTCTGAAAACATTAATGATTTATACATTACCGGTGTGTCATCGTATTCTTTAGGTGTATCTTCATTATTATTTGGATTTTCATTCTGTTCTTTTGAAGATGATGATCCACAATTGAAACCATTTGGGGCACATAAAGCTGATACAGTGTAACTTACAATCAGTAATATTTTAAATGTATAAATCATCTTTCAATATTTTCAGTTTCAAATATAATGAATTTATTAAATAGATAACCAGTTATTAACNACATTTTATTATAATTACCTATATTCTTGTAATCACTATCAGACATAGTCGCTTTGATATCAAAATCCATTATTAACCGAATTGCTTCAACAAAGTCCTTATAAATAATCTCATTACTATCGTTTATTTTTGATAATAATAATATTGATTTCATCTGAGCCCCAACAATTTGAATGACACTTACCGAATCGTTAACCTAAAAAAATAATGTTAATTTACTTAAATCTTGTACAGTGCCTATCATTTCTGTAATATTACATTTCCAATTGAGCGCTGGTTACACTTCTTATATAAGTTACATTTGATTAGTTTTGTTATTTTTTATTCTCATTTTTGGTAACTTAACTTTAGTTGTTTTTTTTTTTGGTTGTATAAAAGCTGATTCTTTTAACGCTAGTCACTCGATTTCTCTTAGAATACATTTTTTTTTTGCTTTTGTTAATAGATATGTGTCTATATTTATCTACTATAAATTATTTGTTATGTTCATCCTTTACGTTTTATGTAGGTGTCAACTTTATTTTTAAAAGGGCAACCCACATAATTATCTAGTTTATTTATTAGATAATGATCTGATTAACATAATGACTAATCGATTACAAATTAAGACTCATCATTTCAGAAGTTATTAACATTTTTAAATATAAAGTGAAGGAAAAACACGTCAGAGTAATGCGTAACGATAATAATAAAATAACTTGCACTTCACCACCATCTACTATATAAAACAATAGTTATAACTTCCAAAATATGTCAATAGTTGTCATCGACTAGTAATTTTTTTAATTATGACATTATTTATTAATTTAGTTAAATATGTTTATTACCATTAAAAAAAATAAAGATGACACACTTATAAGGTATAAAAGTTGAATTGCAAATATTATTATTATTGATAAATCAAGAAATATATAAAACTAAAAAATACCATAAAGAATTTTCTTATCATAATTATTTTAATAAGAGTGGCTATTAAAAAAATCACCCTATATTTCGTTTCCTCAATTTATCAAAAACATTTTTTTTTTGAAAGGGCAGCCCCTTTTTTTATATATTTATTGGATTGACATTAAATACTGCAAAAAATTTAACACTAAATCTTAAATAATATTTTTATAATAGCAGATTAAATATGGTAATTACCCTTACTCTTCTATAGAGTTATACTGTGTTTAATTAAATTATATAAACACGAATAACGATGATATTTTACATCAAAATAATATTTTTATTTATTCTCAAAGGCCGTTTACATATAGAAGATAAGTAATCGAGACAATTTATTTTTATCTTATAATACGTAATATAATCTTTAATTTGATATATATATATATATATGTTAAATGCTCAGAGTATTTCTAGAATATTTTCAAAATTTAAGTTGAAAAAATTCCGTACATTATTCAAAGATAATGCAATTTCAAGTTGAAAATATAGAATAGATTATCGACATTTTAACACAAAACTTGCTTGTTTTTTAACTACGGTTAATATTTTCATGATTATTTCAGTATCAAAAGTCATTTTTTGGAATTATACTTTATTATATAATAAAAAAAATTTTATTTTATTTAATAAATATATTATAATATATAATAGAATTTAATGTTTTAAAAAGAGTTGACTTTTGGTTATAATAAAACTTATTATAATTCTTACTAATTTAGATAATATTTGAAATTATTTTGTTTCACTTAGTATTAGGGTTTTATTATAATCTATTTTTTTATTAGTATAATAATTTGAATTATAATATTTCAAAATAAAAACTGTCTGAAAACATTAATGATTTATACATTACCGGTGTGTCATCGTATTCTTTAGGTGTATCTTCATTATTATTTGGATTTTCATTCTGTTCTTTTGAAGATGATGATCCACAATTGAAACCATTTGGGGCACATAAAGCTGATACAGTGTAACTTACAATCAGTAATATTTTAAATGTATAAATCATCTTTCAATATTTTCAGTTTCAAATATAATGAATTTATTAAATAGATAACCAGTTATTAACGTATTAATAATAAAATAATATTTTAAACTTTTTATACAAAAAATTATTAAAATTTAATGACTATTATAATACTTATTTATTTAAAATAAATATGCAAAGTAACAAATAAGTTTATTCTAATAAATAATAATGATATATTTTGATTTTATATGTAAACAATATGCGATTAAAAATATTTTTAACTGTATTGTAAGTTTTAAACAAAGATCTACATTTTTAGAATTGTAATGAATATTTAAAAATAAATTATGAATATTTTCATCAAAATAAACTCTACTCTAATTTTAAAGTTTACTCACTGTGCTAAGTTTTGTGTATTATTAAATTTTGTAATATATTGTCGACTTGTTGTAGTAATGTAATCGTAATATAAGCAATAATTTATTATTTATGTTGTGTCAATATAAATGAATATGTGTGACTCTGACGTACTATTATTATACAGAATGTTCAAAAAGTAAGGAAACAAGTCAATTGTTACAAATAATGAGTGCAATATAAACCCGTTTTCTTCTTACTAAATATTCTATATAATCTTATTCTGTTACATCTTGTAAATTTATATCATAATAAATTAATAACTGATATCCTAAAAAAGTAAGATCATTACTTATCCTTTAGAACATTTGATTAAATTCACAAATCAAGTTTTTAAATTTATATTTTAAACTAAAAAAAATAACTTCTATCTTCTACCCTAATTTAAGTTACTATTTTCAACAAGTCAACTTCTAACTAATTAAATTAAAAATTTCAACATTTCAAAAATTAACTTGCCCAGCTTTAAATTTATTTTAATTAACTCAAATGCATCAATGATGCAAAAATTGAATAATTTTCTACGTCTTCCCAAATTGCGTTTTTTTATGGCTTCATAATGTTTTATTTATTGTTTAGTTATTGGGAAACCATAGAAAAGAAAAAAATTAAGAAGCCATAGAATTTTTTTTTTATTTTTTGTGCTTTCTATGGCTTCTTAATTTTTGCATTTCTACGGCTTCACAATTTTTGTATTTCTATGGCTTCCCAATTATTCAACAGCAAATGAAACATTAAGAAGCCATAGAAAATCATTTATATAATTAAGAAGAATTTATATGGCTTCTTAAGTTTTGCATTTCTACGGCTTCCCAATTTTAGTATTTCTATGGCTTCTTAATGTTTCATTTACTGTTGTATAATTGGGAAGCCATAGAAATACTAAAATTGGGAAGCCATGGAAATGCAAAAATTAGGAAGCCATAGAAAGCAAAAAATAAAAAATAATTTCTATGGCTTTTAATTAAAAATATTTTTTTTTTTTATGCATTTTATTTTTGGGGCAAAAAATACGACTTATATTTGAGAAGCTGCACGTAAATTACATTTAGATGAAGGGTGCATTGATTATATTTAAAGTGAATATTTCTTTAACACAAAAATTAATTTAGACTAACTAATTTAGACTAATTTAAAATATTTTTTACAGAGAAAAATTACATCCTACTTTATTTGTTCATATTATAAAATGATTCGCAAATTTCCCTTACAACAGTGATTTACAAACGTATAAGTACTAATAGCAAACATATGTTTACTTAGTATAATATTAACTTTGACGGCGCTCCATTACAATTTACCTAATATTATTAGCAGAAATATCTTGGCTTGAGACAATTAAAATTCATCTGTTACTAATACGAAAAGGGTTGACGTTTACGAGTTGACGGCAAATGTATTGTTTGACGCAATGCATTATTTATCACCATACAATTTATAATAACATTATGTGTTCAATGTGTCTGTTAATAATTTGACGTTGATATCGTCAAGTGGGTGGATAAGTGTGACGACTTGTCGGATATGTATTCGGAAATTGCCGACACAGTTCGAATGAAGTCCGGCGAAGTTGAAATTTCTGTCAACATCATATTTGTTAAAGTAAATAAAGACCTATTCAATCTGATAGACAGTATTATCGGTTTATATGACGAAATAAAATAGTTTGGATATCCATGTGCTGCCGTAACTCAGTGGTTACATTTACAGCTAGAGGTGTTATTATATTATTTTGTTATCGGTGTGGCAAGCGGATATTGCAATAGATCCCAAGTAAAAAGTTGTTGTAATGTCATGTTGACGACGGTGTATGTACACACCATCAACCAAATTGGTTTATAAATAGTCACACAAATAATATACGTATCATTTTCTTAGGAACTTTATTGATCAAATACAACCAAATTCGTTCAATTAAAATAAATATCAAGTATAACAATTTATGAATTTCTTTATTTGTATTTACAAATCTATAAATAATATTGATTTTGTAGCATCTAAAACCTATCGACAACGCGCAAAAAAAACACATATTTTAAAATGGTTATCTTTTTAATTTTTTACCTATAATTTAACTATGATTATTCTAAATTAATAAAGTATAATAATCTTATTGTAGAATGTAAATTGGTTTTAAATTTTTATAAGTTAAAATTATTTATGTTTTAAAACAAACATTTTTCCTATCCCCCTCTCTCTTCCCTTCAAAATAGTACCGAATTTTTAAAATAGAATCATATATTTTTAACCAACATACAAATAAGAAAATTAATGGTCTTTTAACTTTTAAACAGAACTTTGGAAGTATTTTAGCACTTTGAATAAAGACTATAATTGAAGCGTAGGGCTGTTTATTTTTATCTCTATGTATTCATGAACCGTACTACTCCTCCCATTATACAATAAAAATGCTAATATCTTTTAAAATACTGATTCAAAAGTTTTTATCAACCAAATATTTTTTTATATCATAATCTTACATTTAAACCAATTAAACATGTGTTTCCATTAACATTTTTTGTTTTAATAAAATATAGAACATAGTTACTATTTAAGTTGTAAAAAGAAAAAAATACATTATGTTTTATAATTTTAAAGATATTCTTTGGAGTATAATGATTTAATCACCTTGTATAATTTAAGTATTTTATATTATAATCGTAAGCCAACTTTGAATCTAAAAAAATATATAACATAAACATTTCAAGACATCTTGAAAACTTAAATTTTTATAGCATTTATTTATTTATTACATGTATTAAAAAATATTTTTTTTGACAAATTTTAATTATGCTTATTTAAATTAATTTTTTTCATATAGATATATAGAATATTGAATAATAAGCTAAAAAATGAGTATATTTAAATATTTACAGGAAGTGATTTTTTTTAACATAGCCACTCTATTTTAAAACCAACACAAATTAAGTGGGAGTTAATGTGATGGCGGTTAATTTAACGTAAAAAAATGTATCGTGATTTTACATACAATTTAAATAACACATTAATGTATGGCTTATATAAGGGTCCCAACACCTTTATAAACTCATGCTTTTATTGTAATAATAATTACTCTAATTATAGTGCACCCTTCATCTCAAAAAATTGTACGCACAGTTCCACACTTTAAGTTGTTTTTTTTATCAAAACGAAAATTAAAATGCTTTAAAAAAATATTATTTTAAACTATTAAAAAATAGAAAATTGTTTGCATCTAAACTTATACATATTGATATGATAAAATGTAGTATTGGCCTAAAATTATTTGCCACATTTGATTCTAAAAATTCCAGTTGGACTTATAAGACTACTAGATGGGGGTGTTTCTTATGAAATTTTTGATTTTCATCTATATAAGTATATTGCATACATCTTCTTGTGGTTTTCAGAACCGCAGTGATTAATGTCGGCCGACTATAATAAAATGCGAACAAACGGAAGAACTTTGGTGGCTTTCTGTTCGACCAGCGATCTTGCACGGGAGGCAGTTATTTATCAATTTGGCTTTGGAACATTAACGCCATCGCAAAGTCGGGGTGGTGACTTTGGCAATAGGACTTCGTAGTCGTCGGACGGCTGCTGCTGTTGTGGTGGTCTTCTGTTGTTGTTCAACGTCTGGCTCAAGTCCAAAGGAAATTGAATGAGTCTTGTGTGTACCGATACAGTTCGGTTAGTCTTTTTTGTGAATATAATTCTCAAGCGAAAAATAGATAAGACAGTATTATCAAACGGAAGAGGAAAGAAAAGAATGCTGAGGTATATCAGACAGCGGCTTATTGTAGCACAATGAACAATATGAATCGAAAACTATACGAATCGTTCAACTTGAATGATTTGCAAAATCTATTTGGTATTAACATCGAGGTGTGAAATTTCTACCGTAAAAAAGTTGAGATGGTTAGTATTTACTATTATAATTCGGAAACTTTAAAAAATGATAAATATTCTCAGAATTCTTCATGATAATTAAAAGAACATTTTTTCAACACTTGAAATTCACAGAATAAAAGAGAACTGTTCATTTTATTTCTGTGTCCTTATGTAATATTTTAATTCGAGCTTTTGGTTTCCAGTAAAAATTTAATAAATTAAAAAGAAATTTCTTACCGTTTTATCTTGATACACAATTATTGAAAATAATAAATGTTGACAATTTATCATCTGATAGAAAATAGAAGTATTATGTGTAAACATTGGTTTAATTAATAAATTATAGAAGTATTTGAAAGTTTTACTAACCGTATGCAAGACTAAAACTATTGTGTTACATAAATCTAAATACACTAAATAAGTTATGGGTGTAAAGCACTTCGTATAGTTTCATACATTAATTTACAACATAACCAACAAATATGCTACTAAAATAATGAAGAGAGTCTGTGTAAAGAAACGAGTCGAGAGAGTTATTTTGCTAGACTAGTCGTTAATTTTGGTCGGTATTACTCCTTTTATCCCTTTCCTTCTTCAAGTTAATGTGTTAAAGTGGTCAAGCAAATCTCGATTTTATAGCCGAGACATATACTTATGTCCTTTGGGATTTCCCTGGTGCATATTCAATTAAGCGGCTGCTTCCTTAATTCCACTGCTTATGTTACTTGATTTTCTTTGGCGCCATTGCCACCATACAATGATGGCATGTCACGATAAGCCTAAATCTCTTGAAACAAACGACTATCGTCATGGCAAACTTGGCTACAAGTGTGTCCCAGAAAATATTTAGTTTTTCCTCAATATTTTTCTAATACAA